ACAGTTTCGCAAGTGAGCTGCCCCCTTGGGCATCTTCAGATGACAAGCGGACATTCCAGACCCGAAGTATCCATGAACATACAAAGGAAGTTTCTCCTCAGGTCAAGGGTCCCCAAGGCTTGGGAGGCTTGGGTAACTTTGGAACTCCGTGCTAGGCTGCCATGACGGGCCACCCCGTCCACGGCGTGCAAGCCTCAAGCCAAGCCACGCGAACACCGCGGACGTCGCAAAGGTCGCAACCCCAGTGACACGATGCATCGCACGCATGGCCTTGATCGATTTGATGGCTTTGCGGCTCTGTCGTTTCGCTCCCGCGGTTCTAACTGCAACTGCCGCGTGTAAGGACCCATTCCGCGTCAGCATGGGGCCCATGAAGCCCAAACGGTGATCAGGGCCTTCAGGGCCTTGACTCTACGAATACCCAAGTGGGCGGCGAGAAATTGGCAAGCCTTCACCTCGAAAGCCAGCTGTTACGGTCCTGAGATGCTAGTGCTGTGGGGGGTAGCCGTTTCGCCGAACTTGGTGTAGCAGTGCTCCGCAGTGCCGACCAAAGGAAGCCTTGCCATCCTCTGGTGCTCCTGCATTTTGGGTTTAGGATTTTATGGTTTAGGGCTTAGCCGCTTAGCGTTCATTTTGGCCTTGAAAGCAGGCATTGAACGGACCAAGAACGAAGCAGGCGCCTGCGAGAGAGTCTGCCCAAATTGCGACCCGGGTCTAACCGGCCTTGCCCCTGCTAGATCCTGGGAGCCCTATGCTTACGCCCTCCTCGCATGTGTCGGGATACCTTGACATCTAGGAGCAGGGAAGACAACGACTCAGAGTTTGAGCCCTCTGAGAAACACTCTGCTATCTACAACAACGTCTGAAGATACCAAGAGAACCAAGAAGTGGAGAATAGACTCGTCAACAACTACGCCGCACTTGGCCGGTGAAGATACAGAGACAGCTCCAAGTCTGCTGCACTCGCATCGCCATCACCGATGGAAGGTACGCAGCAGAGGGACGTCAAGAAGTTACTTCCAAAGCACAGGCCTATAGAACTCACACACAGGCCAGGGGCTCTGCAAAGCTCATGGGAAAGCCAAACGTCACGGAGCCGTCGTCCCGTTGGCCTTGCGGCGGGCTTAGGCTGTGGACACCGCACTGAAACAACCGCAAGCACACCTGCGAGCACGAAGAGGCAGGGCCGGCTAGGCTTCCGGTCAGCGCGTCAGACTTCAAATCTTCAGGCCGTTTCGAAACCGAAGCCTCAGGATGCACCATAGAGAGAAAGCAGAGTCACAACTTGCGCTCCCCGTCTGGCCTCAGCAATCGCCCCTCATAGCTGCAGAGTGTCTTGGGGTTCTGGGGATAGAAGGCTTGATGCAGCTGACGTTTAAGCTGCACATCTCCTGCCGCTGGGCAAGCCTTGCTCAAACGCAACTCCGTGGCTGCAGTTGCTTCTTGAAGACTACGTTGGCATAGCATTGCCGAAATAACCTTTAAACAAGTTTGGACCATTCCAGGGTTGGAGAGCAAAGAAGTTCCGCGACAGGACAACCACAAGCTCCAATTGCCAAAGAATCTCTCATTCTGAAAAGGGAACTGCATCATCATCACGCCACTGAAGATTCTATGGCCAAAGAAACCACCTGAAATGTGGCTTTCAGGCCCGCAGGCGTAAAGTTGGCCTGAAGGGTTGCTCGTGCAGCCTCCTGCCGCATCCCAACCACTCTGACCACCAGGGCAACTGTCACAAAGTATGTCTTGCCCTATTTCTTGCCATGAGAATCAATACACCGTCATTTTTTGCGATCAAGTCGCCTGAAATCGGCTGCTGGCTGGCGGCTGCTTCGGAGGCTTTAGGGCTGTAGACTGTAGACTGCGCAAGGGCGGCCGTAGGCCAAAACCTTCCAGCCTTGAGTCCGTCATTTTCTGCAACCGCTTTTCCAACAACCCTCTGTTGTATGATTTCCACTTGCCCTAGACTTTGAAGCCCACGCAGTTTTCCTTTTCTTAAAGATTGAGACACACCTGGATTTCATGAAGGACTCCTTGTAAATCGCTGTTGCATTCTCCATGTGGACTTTCGCAGACACACTGTGCAGTGTCAGAAGTACGTCCAAAGCTTAAGTTTGCACATAGCTCCATGAGTTGTTTTGTCAAGGCTAGAAGACTAACCTCAGATGAAGATGAACAACTTCCGAAGAATTCTGCATTTCCATCACTCTGTTGAGGTCCTTGCCACAGTGCTACAGGGCATCTTGAGTCTAAAGCTGAAGAATGGATGGTAGACCCTGAATGCTTTTAAGCCCCAAACCTGCACTGCATTGTAAGGACCCCTTACGGCGTTACGGAAAGGACAGGGAAGGTACGTCACTGAAATGCTAAATCAAGCCACTGAGCGCAGGGTTCACGGCTGAATCCAAGCAAGTGACAAATAGCCGTTCTCGGAGGATGGCCCTACTCAACTTGCCGAATGGCCAAACCTCTCAGCCCTAAGCAGCGCTGGCATCCGATGCTAGCCAATCTAGTACCTGAGATGCAAGCATACACGAGCCCCGCATCTTGTCAAACCCTACAGCCCCACACCTTGCACCTGAGATGGTCTCACCGTAAGGGCCCCTTTTGAAGACTGCTGTGGAGACTCTCAAGGAGTACGAGGTCAAGACCTTTCGGCATCCCACTGCCACATCGCCATGACTGGCAAGAGGCTTTTGGTAAGATCAGGATGGCCTGTCATCTGGGTGGTTGTGAAAATGATGGTCCCCTTTTTGGGTACCCTAAATAGTAGGTGCCGTACTGTATTAAGGACCCACAAAGGGACCCTAATTTTGACAACTGAGCTGTGGCCTAAACCCTTTGAACCTTTTGTTCTTATTTGTTGTGCTATCGCGGACGCCAGTCTCAAGACTGGCGCGCCCAAGGAATAACTGACGCGGATGCATCTTTTTCAAACTGTACTGACACGAATTATCGCGGCTTGATTTCAGGCTATTAAACCTCATGCCACAATGGGAACCTTTTTTAAGATGCAAAGCTTAGCAATCTGCTGTCGCGAAGACTATCGCGGTACGAATGTTCATGTTTTAGTGGCGCGAACTATTGCGCACACCATAAAAGCTGACGCGAGCAATCATTACTTTCATTTTTATATAAAATCTCACATGGGGCGTTTTGGCCGCCGCTCAACTACCCATCTCACTTTCTCGCGCATATACGAGGGGCATGCGAGGGGCTTCTGGAGTCGCCGTGAGAAGGCAGGTCTCCCTCGGCTTCTCACCCACCGGCAGCTCGCTACCGTGCCCCGCTGTGCGTCCAGCCCTCCCTGCGACCTACTCAGAATATGAAGAAACAGCCTCTGGAAGGCTCAGGAATCTCAACCCCTAAACCCTAAAGCCCTAAACCCTCAAGGCCGTGTCAGCCCCTGGCAAAAGACCTCTTGCAGCTTCGGACCTCAGAGCTTCCATGCAAGAATCTTCCAGGCTGACGCGCTGTGCGCCCGCGGAAGCCCATAGGCCTACGTCCCCTGCTTGCTCCAAGGATCATGGGGCACTCAAAGGAAGAAAAATGCCAAAGAGCCCTGCACCCCAAGTCCCCTGAGGCAACAGGTGGACCTCGGAATGCTTAGGTTGTCGGAAATTGCCCGATGCCTGAGGACGGCAGAGCCAGCGCCTTTCCAGTCTTCCCCTAAAGCCGCTTAGCAGCTTGTAGCACCTTAGCCTTTGGATGAAATTGGTCTGAGGCAAATTTTGATTGCAGTCCTCTTGTGACAAGGAAAGCGGTGGCAGCGTTTTCGCTTACGAAACAACACTCCAAGCAAAGCCCAGCGGCCTGGCGAGCGTTTTAAATGGTCCGGCTGCATGCGCCGCTTGCGATTTGCCAAACTGGCGCAGGACAGGGGACAGACTTCACCCTCTAAAGGGTTGAGGGGATCTGGCACTGGAGCGGAGGGCGCTCAGCGAAGGCCAGCTGCTTCTGTTCACAATGTTTCTAGGAAAGAAACAGCTCGAACAACACGAATTGAACCAGCAGGCTGTGCTCGTTCAAGTTGGATCCCACATCCAGACAGTCTCGGAACGAAGCAGATAAGCTGTGGCATCAGGCTTGTCGGTCCTTACTTCTCATGTTACCTGGGGCTATATACCAGCCGTCTCGGGGGGACGAAAAAGAGGCGAGAGTCTACTTCTTGTGCTGCTTCCGTGCGTATTTACTTTGTTTACATCGTCTGTTGCAAGAGTGCTGTCCGAGCCGGGATTTCCCAAAATCGAGCGGCAGACTTAGACTCTTGCCTCTCTTCTCAGAGAATCACGGTGTGTCAAAAAAATCAACCCGCACAAGCACATTGATGAGTGAGCGCCACAGGCAAGGAAGCGGAACATGTGAGATGAAAGCTCACTGCAGCTGCGGTCCCCATGACAAGCCGGCCTACTGTCAGGCAAGACCTGAACCATCCGCGTCAAGACAACGCCACAAACTGGGAAGCAGCTGGCCTTGTGTATCTGGAACAGCTGGAGCTGCTCCCAGCTCAAGCTGCTGACGGCAGAATTGGGAAAGCATTAACACATTGGATAGCAAAGGCCGTGCTTCTTGAACTTCAGGCCGTGCAAGCCGTGCAACCTGCGGCGACGGACATCTGACGCCGAGACTCCCTGTGACGCTGCGCCCGTCGCCATGGCCCGCCCCTGCTTGAATTTGTGCAACCCTAACATTGTTCAACCTTTCTGCTTCAACTGGTTTGTTCCTATGCTCCGCTCGTTTCGCTGGACTAACCTTGAGTGCGCTTCGCGTGCCCAGGCTTAGCTGACCCCAACAAGATCTGCATGCTATGGTACACGTCCCATATACTATCCGAACCTTCAGGGAATGAAGCAACTGAGTGTCTAACTGAACTAGTCGCAGGAGCGAAAGAAGGGAACGTCGTGCAAGCAAGCTACCATGTAAGCCCAAGGTTGCGCAGCGTGTGAGGCCATACTAAACATGACAGACCGCAAAAGTCCGGACATTTACCTTTTCAGTCCCTAGACGGCTGACTTGGCACGCCGCGGCCGCCTGCCAATGCTTGCACCACTTCTGCCTTAGAGGACACCAGGGAACGGTCATGAAAATGATCCACACCAGCATGCTGCTTCGGGATACATGGCAAGCCAGCACTGGAAGGTATGTCCCTGCTTGTGCACAGTGACAGGAGTTCTGGAAAACCAGCTGAGGCAAGATTGGAACAACTAAAGCCTTCTGCGAGTTCACCCAGTCCCAATGCTCCATCTAGATTGAGCCCATGAAAGCATAAGCCTGACTTTCAGTAGCCTCAAGCTTTAACGCTTTAGCCCTCAACCCTTGTTGCTGAGGCCGCAGCTGACAGCAAGGGCACGCAACTTCCCCCTGGACATGAGCAAAGCCCGAACCTGAGCCATGACTTCGGAAACATCACTTGGACTTTCCCAAGATTAGGGGTAATGAGGATATAGCGGCATAATGGAAAAGAAACTGGACACTACTATTGGGTCCACAGGGTTTTCCAAAATTGTGGGTCTAACTTTGGGCCCCTATAATGAAGCTTATAATATCTTGGGGTCTATGTTGGGGTCTCCCATTTTGGTAGCTAGGTGCCTGCCTGACTACTGCACTTGTAGTTGCGACTGCTGTACCCAAAAAGGTGCACGGGATGACGAATGCTGGATTAAACGTGGTTTAGGGCTAAGGGGTGATACAATAGGGTTTAGGGTTTAGGGTTAGGGTTTAGGGTTTAGGGTTTAGGGTGATTAGTTGGATCATATGGTACCCAACAAAACCTGAAGTAGTGGACCGCGCGGGGTCTGTGCCGAAAACAGACAGTCTGAAGATCAAGGATAAGCCAAAACAAGACATCCAGCCCCAGGAACATGCCAAAGAGCTCACAGACAAAACCCATGCCGTGCTGCTCAAACTGAAAAGGCAACCCGTAATGACTCAATCTTATGCATATCATGGCAAATTAGGAGCATCGAAGACATCTGGAATCTATCGGCAGGGCAAGCTATGTCGCAGCGAGCTTTGACACAGAAACCGTGATTACAATACAATACCCAACTGAAAAGCAGTTGGAGTTGACAAAAAAAATGCAAAGCTATGAAAACGCAATGAGGTCGTTCATTCGAGGCGGTTAAAGCTCATGGGGTGTGAGAAGCAAAGGGCGTTGACTAAGGGCAAGGCCGCACGCAGAATGACCTGCAAACTTTGTACATCCTTGGTCTGCAGCTTGGACACAGAGAAAGCCCAGCGTTCAGCTGCTAGGAACTGATTTATGCTTACGATGACGTCACCTGCCGCCTGTGGACTTTGCTCTCGACCAAGTCCAGATCATGTTGTTCTGAGATCCTTTTGGGAGCCCAATGCCCATACACAGCAAAAGTGGCTCTGATATGGTTGACATTATGGTGGGACGCCTGCGGGCTTTGGCTTCCCATAAGACGCGACTGCAGAAGGAATCTATCAGCATCAAGCAAGATGCAAAGAGTGTGGCGTGATACGCACACCTCTCGGAACAGGGAAAGCTAGAAACATCTGCCTGATCCTAACTTGAAATTCACCAGGTGTCTGGGGCCCAGGCACTTGTGGCAAGGCGCCACGTGTCGGATCCCATAATGACAAACTCAAAGTGAAAACAGAACCTGCCATGGAACGATGGATGAGTCTGGATTTTGATAT